ATACCACTGAGCTATACCACTGAGCTATACCACTGGGCTATACCACTGGGCTATACCACTGAGCTATACCACTGGGCTATACCACTGGGCTATACCACTGGGCTATACCACTGGGCTATACCACTGGGCTATAACACAGGCTGAAGGCCTACAGAGGAATTCATAGGAAAAATTTGAAGGGGCTGAAATGCCAGTGACCAGCAGAGGGAGCCATGCTTTCAACTCCATTAATTTCAATGAGATGAATAAGGCATAAAAAGTTAAATATCTTACAAAGTTGAAAAGATTTGAACACCAAAAGTCATAAATGCATAGTCCTGAGATAGATATACACTTTGATAACTTATTTGTTGAAATAGGCTGAAAGGTACGGAATAAAGAATAATAAAGAGAAACAGGAAAACAATAGAGGATTATGGGGAACAGGTGGAGTTCGGGAATTCGCCTTATTTTAGTGGAAGAATTTTTTTTTTTAAAGTTCCCATGATAAGTCCTAGTGACGTTAAAAATAACATTAGTTTTGGAGTTTCAGTGGAGCTTTAGCATCTCATTTGACTCTTTGTTATAACACTTTGTTATTCAGAGGAGCTCCCGGTGGACTCCAGGGTTTCCAGGTCCTGTTGCTTCCAAACAAGCCCAGATCATCAGACCCCCACCACCGTGCCGACTGATGGTTCGAGGCGTTCGGGTTAACGACACGTCGCCGCTTTAGTCCGGTTTGTCCAAAGGGAAGTGTTACAGAGGTCGTTTGGTTTAGATTTTTAGATTTAGACTTTACAGACATAAAACCTTTTAGAGAGATGAGGCTTTTTGCTGCAACTTTTCCAAACATTTTTCTAAATGTAAAGCTAAAACATACAAATCAAGAACTGAAAGTCTGACATGTAGCTTTAGGCGTTATATTTTTTGTTAGTTTGGGTTTTTTAATTGTTTTTTAGCAGTTTATCCCCCACTGGAAGAGGGCCAGTAGATCAGGTGTGTTTCATCTTCCTTTGAAAGCAGCAAGGGCCGACTTCCACATTCACACACACCGAATCTCCATTCGGGCTTTGGCCTGTCCTGACCTGACAAACTTAAGAGTTTCTGGCACTCAAATTTGAAGCAAAAGCCGTTAAATGTAGGCTTTGTTCCATAAAACTCAGCGGCGGCCGTTTGGTAGAAGCACCGGGCTGACGCCCAACACTTTGGATCATCATCCTGCTGGATGAGTAATCAGAATCAGAAATACTTTAATAATCCCAGAGGAAAATTATTTAACAGGTAAACAAGAATTACCTGTTAAGTGTTGAGTCCTCCCTTTGTGATCCGTCCAACATGTGCCTGCCCCAGCAAAAAGCCTCAGAAGCTGGGGCCAATTTACTCACTTCCACTGTTATTTATCTAACAATGTGTGGAGGGTTTTTTTTTCTGCAATTCAAAATAAATGCAAAGACTAAAAACAGGGTTTTTTTTCCTGTTGGGACCGTGTCACCGTAGGGTTTTACACAGCACTGTAATCCATAAGGGGTTTTGATGCCAATATAACTTTATCCATAAGTATAAAGCTAGTGCATGTAGCTTTATATTTCTGGTGCTATCTTTGCTAACTGTTTCCAAGTTAGCAAAAATAGCAGAACGGCCCATATTAGAGGAGCAAAAAGCCTCAGAAGCTAGGGACAATTTACTCACTTCTACTGTTTTGCAACCATTATTTATCAAACAACATGTGGAAGTTCTTTTTTTTTTCCAATTCAAAATAAATAGCTTGTAGCTTTATATTTCTGGTGCTATCTTTGTTAACTGTTTCCAAGTTGGAAAAAACAGCAGATTGGCGCATATTAGAGGACCAAAAAGCCTGAGTCTGGACATACAAAAGACTTTTTACTACAAAAACTGCAGTTTCAGGCCAGAAACCCTGCTTTGACTGATGATAATGGCAGTAAACGTTATCAAAATCCCAGAGTTCGTGCACACCAAACCCAAGATCTGCCCCATTTGTCGCCATTTGACCAATTCGACAGCAGCCCTTGAGGACCAGAGCCGGAAACCCCTGATCCTGAGTATCACAACCTCCGTTCACCTGACAGCTCTGGTTACATTCAAAAGGGACTGAAACACTTTTTTTTTGTTTACATTTAAGAAAATTTACATTTTTAGGAAATTCCTGAATCAGAATCTGTCGTTACCTATTCAAACCCTTGACGATGAAAGCTTTGCCTGAATGCTGCGTCTCTACCTTCTTCATCACGTTGTACAGCTCACGGTTCAGCTGTGACAAAAAAGGGAAAAATCAACAAACCATCTTAAAACAAAAAGGTCAGATTTCGAGGGGTCTGTGGCATCTCTTACCACACTCATTTCTTTGTAGAAGACATCTCTCAGGTTTGAAATGTTTTGGAAGACGGTCACATAGCAGCCGATCCGACTGCAGACACAGAAACAAGTTTGACTTTCTGCTCATATGAAGATGTACAGTGGGGGAAATAAGTATTTGAGCCCTTGCTGATTTTGCAGGTTTGCCCACTTACAAAGAATGCAACGATCTATAACTTTAATCGTATGTACATTCTAACAGTGAAAGACAGAATCCCAAAGAAAATTCCAGAAAATCACATCATATGAATTTATAAAAATTGATAACCATCTGATGAGGAAAAATAAGCATTCTTTGTAAGTGGGCAAACCTGCAAAATCAGCAAGGGGTCAAATACTTATTTCCCCCACTGTATAAAGATGTATTCTCTAATAAAAGAGTCCGGTCAGCCCCCACCTCTGATAGAGAACAGGCAGCTCCTCTCTCAGCTCGTTGTTTATCTCCTCAAACACGTTCTGGGCTTTGTTGAACTCCTCCTCTGCCTGTTAAAGAGGAATTGAAACAGCCGTTTCCGTATTTAACCATAAAGAAAAAGGCATTTCTCCTGAGTGAGCCTAAACGGGGACCTTGGTTATTTTGGCCTCGTCCTTCTTCTTGGCGCTCTGCAGAGCCTCCAGGTGGTGCCGCGCCGAGTCGTAGTCCACCAGTTTACGGCCGCGCTTTGCCGTTCGCTCCTGAGAAAATATTCCATTCAGTTTAAAAAAAAATAAATAAATAAATAAATATATATATATATATATATATATATATATATTGTTTTGGGAGCAGGAAGTGGCTCAGATGAAGGAGGGCTGCCTCTGGCTGCAGCCTGTAGGAGCCTCTGCTGGTTATCAGACTCCTCCCACATCCAAGTCGGCCATTTTGATTAGGTCATGTGACTACCAGCTTTCTGAGGTGGAAACGAAACTTTACTGTCTATACGAAGTCGGAAGATAAATGATGTCCTGACCCTAAACCTGTCCCTAACCCCAACCCTAAACATTAACCTATCCCTGACCCTCAACCCTAAACCTAACCCTAACCCTGACCATAACCCTAACCCTAACCCTAACCCTGACCCTCAACCCTAAACCTAACTCTAACCCTGACCCTGACCCTAACCCTCCAGCCTTCATAATTGTGAGAAATAAATATTTTTTGGTTAAACTTGTTTGGACTTATTGTACAAACCTATTTAACATCCACTATTTTAACATAATATTATGGATAGAGTTTAATTCAGTGTGTGCAAGATTCATTTCACTATTTTTAAATTAATGTCTATATTGCCATGAACCAATTAGGATTTTCTTGCCTGGGATCTTCCTATTGGTGACCTAATCAAAATGGCCGACTTGGATGTGGGCGGAGTTAGATATCCATAGCCAGACGGACGTGGCCGTACCTTGACTTCTGGGAACTGGCTGGTGTAGTTCTCCATGGTTCGAACAATCTGGTCACTCAGTTTCTCCTCGTAGTCGTTCCAGAGCAAATCTTCACTCTGAGGGACAAAAACACGAATTAATTAACAGTGTTGGGTAAGTTACTTTAAAAATGTAATCCGTTACAGTTACAAGTTACCTTGTTTAAAATGTAATTGTAGTGTAACTTTTTCGATTACTTTTAAAAAGTAATGTAACTAATTACTTTTGATTACTTTTTGATTACTTTAAAGTTTTAATGAGTATTAACCCATGATTAATTTTAGCATGTTATTATTAGCTATTGGCCGCACAAAGCACTTCAAGGCTAACGTCTTGTTAATGGTCATAAACAACGTAAATAAATACATAAATAAATCGGAGACAAGGGGCGCAGCGACGGCAGGTCAGTCGTATCCGGATACAACA